ATGGATGGATGGATGGATGGATGGATGGATGGATGGATGGATGGATGAATGGATGGATGGATAGGACCATAATGGACTAAAACAATTACTGAGGTTAGAAGTTAGTGGGCAATAAAAACACATGTATGCTTTTGCAGAAAGATGATGATGAAGATGAGGATGAAGACCTTCACAGCTGTCAAGAACATTTAAGTCACTGGAGCTTATTCACCACCTGAAGACTCTAACATACACTTATAGGCTGCAGAGAAGGAAACAGGTGTGCTATTTGGTGTGACTTTAATGAAGTTTTAAAGAGTTGCAGTTTGTTAAGAGGCAATAAGTTTTAAGCGGAGGTCTCTGCAGAACACAAAAGGGCTGGGCCATCCTCACACTGGGAGGGTACACCTTTTATGGGCAGGCTGGATTACGAAACATGATTAGCCCAATCAGGCAGCACGGTGGCACAACTGGTAGAGCTGCTGCCTCTCAGCGAGCAGGTCCTTGGTTCAAACCCCGGTCCAGGGGCCTTTCTGGGTGGAGTTTGCATGTTCTCTTTGTGCATGCGTGGGTTTTCTCCGGGTGCTCCGGTTTCCTCCCACAGACCAAAAACATGCATGTTAGACTGATTCTATATTGTCCCTAGGTGTGAGTGAGAGCGTGAATGGTTGTTTGTCTCATTTGTCTCTATGTGGCCCTGTGATGGACTTGCGACCCGTCCAGGGTGTACCCCGCCCCTCGCACAGTGATTGCTGGACATGGGCACCAGCGACCCCCGTGACCCAAAAATGGAATAAGCAGGTAAAGATAATGGATGGATGGATTAGCCCAATCTACAGTCAGGTTCCAAAATAGGAAGCTAAAATCTATTTCTTCTTTAGCTGCTACACCCGATTAAGCATTAACAAATGTAAGCTAGCACATTCTATTTTATAACACTTCCTGATTTTGTAACATGGGCCAATCACATTTTGTAAGTCCAACCTGCCCATTCAGCGTGGACCCTCCCACTTTTAGGAGGATCCACCCCTTTTTGTTCTGCATATTCTGCAGGTGCTACGGCTTTAGAACTAAGTGAACCTTTTTTTGCCATATCGTCTCCCCACACACAACATGGCAGTGACTTCTTTAGAACTAACTTTATTGCTCATTTCTTCACAACACGATGACACCAAAACTTTTGTCATAACTAATATAGATATCAAATTTTAAATCTTTTGAGGCTGTATGTGTCAAATCATCAATAGACAACAACTTTTGAGGTAAAAAAAAAAAAAAAAGAAGGTCTTATTAATAAATTTAATGTCAGAATTAATGAAAGATTTTTTTTGGCTGGTAAAAATAATGAGCATAAAGCATTCTGAAGATAAATCATCCAACACTTATTTATTAGATAATGATTTTGATGAACACCAAACTCAAACAATATGCATTAACCATACAAAGCACTCTGCTCCCTGAACTTTCTACATTTTATTAAAGATAAGATCAGTCACTACAGCTGCCATAACTTGAAGGTAAATCTCTAGTGAATTATTTTTATTTTATTTTTGGATGTAACTACATCTCTTCCAGCCAGCGTTGTAGTTTAACATGGCTCCAGTTGAGCCCAGCAGGACTCCCCCTTTCCCTCATGACTAAAGCCGTGGGAGAGAACTGGGAACATTAATCCCTTCAAAGGAACAGATCTAATTCACAATCTGCCGCTCCAAACTATAGTTGAGAGGACAGTGATTGTTTCTGCAGGGAAGCCAGATAAAGATCAACTGCAACTTTTCATTTCTGCCACAAAAAGTTTAGGATGTTATCTTCTGAAAACTCCATAGTTTTGCCTTCATTAAATGCAGCAACGCTATATTTCCCTTAATTGGGCTTTATTTTGATATGTCACTTCAGAAAATCTTTTTCTGTATTTTTAAGACTTCCTAATTGAGACACTTGTTTTCATCGTCTTCTTATATTAAAAGTGCATTTGTTTTGTTAAATCAGAGCTTTTCTTAAGTTAATAATTAAAGCATACCCTTTACAATAGATTGACGGTAAAATGTCATGAAGACAGATAAAAGTAAAAAATAAACATGCACAATTTCTTTAATTATAATAAGGGTCAATGTGTCCTTGAACTCAAAACAAATAAGCAGATTGTGTGACCAAATATCAATTTCTGAGTGGATTTGCTTACCTACAAAAACAGCCAAAATGCTTGAAAATAGTTCAACAATGGCAGCATTCATGCAAGATTTGTTGAGAAGCCTGACAGTTTTAATGCACTGATGAGTACATTAAGATTGGTTGCCTAAAGTTTGCATATTAAAGTGATTTGTTTACACTGAGTGCATACCTGCATTTCTGAATTGCACGTTGATATATCTGGAAAACGAGTGTTATCTGCTCATGCATCATTTGATATAGTTTAGGATAACCACAATGGTTTCTTTCATGGTTTGCTATAAGTACCTTTAAGCGGTCTTCACTTGAATTACCTGCTAAGAGTTTTTCCTGCAGCTCTTACACTGTCAGTGCCAATTTTATTGCCTAAAGGAGAAGAGAGGGGATCTAAATTTGGAGTGAGCTTCTGATAAAACAACTGATTGAAATGCTTGAAGGGGGAAAAAAAAATCATAATTCAGAGAGGATATAATTAAGTGTTTAATGCCAAGCTGTAGTTCAAAGGCACAACAAAGCTAAAAAAAAAATATTCAAATTAGAAATGTAAAAGAGGCGCAGATTCTTCAGAGATGAGAACTTTGTGTTGAGTCACTCGATTTGGGTCTCCTCTCTCTCCATCAAACAGATCTCCAGAGATAACAATGTCACATTGTCACATAAGGTTCTGCTACAAATCCTTAATTACAAAAAGAGGATCAGATGACTACAGCATCCAATACCGGGGTCTCCAGGCGGCACGGAGGTCTTTGATCGAGAAAATCCAATTATTTGTGTATATACATTTCCCACATAGTGATTACTTCATTAATTGTCCCGCCTTTATCTCCTCCCTTCCCAACCCCCCTAATAATCAGCTCCTTTATCCAGACCAACAAACACACCATAGGAGCTTTGTGGATTCAAAGGATTTGCTTTCCCCTCTCAAAGAGCCGCTATTCTTTGATGATTGGGCAGCGGCAAACTTCAAAGTAATAAATCTTATTTCTGACTGGCTGGCGGCCCACCAAAGTCCTTATCAAATTCTAAGAAGTGATCCCTCACTCTTCAGATACACCGAGGATATATCGGAGGGAGGAAGCACCGAGAGCCTGCTCCACCGTCTATTTTTACTCCGAATGCACATTTTTCTTTAAAAAACAACACTCGGGTATTTTGTTGTGATTAGTTGTTTTTTTTGTACACGGTGAGGAGGAGGACGTTCACCATGGCAGCGGTGGCAGTTCTGCGGAATGAAACGCTGCAAGCTTTTCTCCAGGTTTGTGCGCAAAGTTTGTTGTTGTTGTTTTTTTTTTTAGCACTTTATTAACTTCAAAACGCGCTAATTTATTTAAGACTCCTGTTCGCTTCGACTAAAACTCGTTTTAGTTTAATGGTGACTATTTGTGTGCTTCTCTCCAAAACTTGGCCAACTTTTATGACGCATTTTGAAATTACTTGAGCGTATTTAGAGGCGATTGGAAGCAAAGAACAGACACTTTGGGTGCAGTTTATTTGTTTCGGTGTGTAAATGAGTTGATTTGAGGTGTGTGTGTGTGTGTGTGTGTGTGTGTTCTCCAGGATCGCACTCCCAACTCGTCTCCAGAGAACTGTAAGCACTCTCCGCTGGCGCTCCTGGCTGCCACTTGCAACCGGATCGGACATCACCCCGGATCCAACCCCCCAGACTTCCTCCAAGTCCCCTACGACCCCACTCTGGGCTCCCCTTCGCGTTTGTTCCACCCGTGGACTAATGAGGGGAGCCCCCAGAGCAGCCTGGCCCCCAACTCCACGTTCGGACTATCCTCCAAGCCTCAGCTGTCTGCGCACATCCAGACCTCCTTCAGCCACCACGAGCTGCCCCTCACCCCTCCGGCGGACCCCTCCTACCCCTATGACTTCTCCCCCGTCAAGATGTTACCTTGCTCCATGCAGTCCACCTGTCCTCCAACCTACGTCCCGGCTGTCAGCTACGCGGCACCGACCCCCATTCCGCCCGCCATGCCGAGCTTTGTGGGCCCCTCCGGACTTGTCCACCAGCAGCAGAGACAGTTGTCCCCGAGCGCTGGGGAGGAGATTCCGTGGTGGAGCCTCCAGCAGGGGAACCATCACGTGGGCCACTCATCCTCGCTGGGTCCCCATCGCTTCCAGCTGCAGAGGAGCTTGGTTCTGGGACACTCGGACTTTGCGCAGTACCAGACGCAAATCGCCGCCCTGCTGCACACCAAGTCCCCGCTGGCGACCGCGCGCAGGTGCAGGAGGTGCAGGTGTCCGAACTGCCAGTCCTCCACCTCCAGCGACGAGCCGGGCAAGAAGAAGCAGCACATCTGCCACATCCCGGGCTGCGGCAAGGTGTACGGCAAGACGTCGCACCTGAAGGCGCACCTGAGGTGGCACTCCGGGGAGCGGCCGTTCGTGTGCAACTGGCTGTTCTGCGGCAAAAGTTTCACCAGGTCGGACGAGCTGCAGAGACACCTGAGGACTCACACGGGGGAGAAGCGCTTTGTTTGTCCGGACTGCTGCAAGAGGTTCATGCGGAGTGACCACTTGGCCAAACATGTCAAAACGCACCAGAACAAACGGAGCAAGTGTCACGAGAAACCGCTGGATCACGTCAAAAGAGAGGACACGAGGAGTATGTAACACCCAAAACATTCAAGTGGATTCTGATGCCCAGTCGTTTTTCTGCTCTGTGTAAATATAAAGTTTATTAACAGCGAGTTAAGTTGGGACCAAGAGAAGTTCATAAGTTTGGATTCAGTGTCTATAATCTAATCAAAGACAAGTTTTCAGCTTGTGTTTTTGATCCATGTCTTCGGTGGAAGATTTCCCTCCTCTGTAAATGATATTTAATAGCTTTTGTTGAATGAAAGTGTCTGTTTCTTGCTCCATATGGGGGTGTTATTTTCTTCTTCTTCTTTTTTTTTTAAAGCATGCTCTTGAAAAGATCTGCTATTGTTGACATGACCCAAATACTGTGTGAGAATAAAAGTTATAACATTTTCCAGATCTGAGAGGAATTCATTCATGTGTCTTCCACCCCCCCTTCACTGCACTGAGGCGATTTCAAGAAACGATCTGGAGAAATGTGCACAGGTTCTGTGGAAAACGGAGCGATTCTTTTAAAATGGTTATTGGAAATGAACAATTTTCATCAAGCGTGCTTTTTTCAGTTTGGAACATGAAAGAAATACTATTTTCATCTGCCGCAAGAGTTCTTAAAAATGCATGTTTTGGTTAATCTGAAGGAGTTCAAATCCAGTTTGACTGCTTTTTTTGTTTTCAACACAATTAAGTCACTGGTTTTACAATTTGTTGAGCGTATATGAATAATTTCTGTATTTGTTGTGCATTTGTGCAAAGGTAAAATTATTGTAGAAAAATTAAATGTAACTTAATTCCCCTCAATCCACAGATACGTCAGACGTTTACATTTGATCATGAAACGAAAGTCATATTTGGTCGCACAGTTAAGTTTTAAACTTTTCAGAGATAAAAATGCAAGAAAACTAAACAAATGTTCATTTTTCTGCTCGCGCAAATGTTTTGATAGTTTTTCTTCATCGTCCTTTGCAGCAACAAAACATTGAGAGGAGACCCTCAGAACATCTAAACTCGTCTGGACTGTTGCTGGATTAAGGAGGATTAAAGCAAAATGTGTTTTATGGATTCAGTAGAAGTTTTTCAGGTTTTATTTAGACCAACTTCAGCTGAGGATCTTTTCCAGAGTTTCAACCTGCGTCTTTTGTTTCCTCCAACCTTCTGATCACTTATAAACTGTTTCAAGTTGTCTTCCTCCACCCACTGTCCCCAACCCTTTTAGAAATAAATTAAATTCTCATCTCACAAGTTCTTCCCTTCATGATACTCATCGTCAAAAAGAAGGGAGTGATGAGCTGCTCGGTATCGGTTAGATCTGAACAGCGATACGGTGATTCATCTGCCCACTTCAGTCAGCCAGTAAGTAAAACCTGCATGCCTCGTGTCATCTCTTGTCTCCTGTGGGATCAATGAAGCTGTCAGGATGAGAGGATGGAGAGCTGTCAATCACTCTGAGCTGCAGCTTTCTGCCTCAACAGCGCCCCCTTTTGTACACTTGTACATTTTGTAGCATTTTTTTTTTCCAATCATAGTTTTATTGTGCAAGCAGTTTCTGCAGTGTTACAGTTTGAACTGATCTGTCTTCCTGTAGTGTTTTTGCAGGTTAAATACTCTAAGTTTAGTTTTAACAAAAAAAAAAAGGATTTTTCAGATATAAATTCCAATCCTGCCTTATAATGTAAAATATGAAAATGATAAACACTATCTAAAACGCAAAAGCAATGTTTGCTTTTAGGTATTTGTTGCTTTATGTTGCGCATACTAAACTAAATTTTAAATTAGCTTTTGCTTTAGATGAAGGTTTATATATTTTTTTTATAAGTAATGTTAAAAATAGGTCTTAAATAATTAAATAGGAAAAGAAATGAACTATTTATATGAACAAACTGCTCAGTTATTTGTGCATATTGCATCAATGTTTATATGTATTTAGCAAGTAGTACAGAAATGTGCTTTATACAGGAAGGAATGTTAGTTCAGTCGATGTAACATAACAATAAATACATTTTAATCTAAAAGAGTCTTTTTGTATCTCGCAGGTCAGATTTAGTTTTATTTAAAGACATGACTGAAAAACTTTATATGACAGTGTTAAGTTCAAAAACAACTTCTTTTGTCTGCCACTTTTTTTATGCACATGCAACTGTCATGCTATCAGCATAAACATGCCTTTTATCCACTTTAAACCCTTGAATCCATCACTTGTTTGTGAGAATCAGTTTTGAACATGGCGTCTCGGTGCAGTCCTGGGAAACAGTGTTGTGTCTCAGAAGCTGCTGTCATTAACAGCTTCGCCTCTTTCCCCCTCTTCTGTCCATCGTATTTACAAATGGCTGCACACCTGAAAACAGACTCCTCCTTAAGCTCGTAGATGACACTGTTTTAATTCGCTTCAGGATGGAGAGGCCTTAAGTCTCTTTGTGTTGTGGTGTGACGATTGCTTCCTAAAATTCAATGCAAACAAAACCCAGAAAAATATGTCCATTAACTAAAAAAAACTAAAGAAAAAAACTCCCATTCAATTGTTCCAACTTTATTTAAAGGCACACCTGTTGAAGGTCCATTTAAAGACAAGAAATGTAACTTGTCCCTGAACCTGCAGAGGTTGTATTTCTTGTGCAGATTCAAAGCTTTCAGACAAAACATTGATGGCTCTTATGGATCATCCAGTCTATTTTAATCTTGTGCTTTTTGTCTAGTTATGTCTCTGTCACATATTGTGAATACAACCAGTAAGTAAAAGGCGACTGACTTCCAAACTGTCTTGATCAGAAATATTGAACAAAATAAATATTCAGGAAGACAAGGTCCATTTTAGCCAACAATAATCAGCATGTGTTCTTCATGAGAAACACAGTGCAACAGATACAAATTAGCCTTTGTTCGATAAATGCACTCAATCAGCCATTCTCTCATTGGTATTTAGCACAATATTATTATTATTTTTATTTTATTGCCATTTTTTTTTCTGGTGTAAGGTAACAAGCACATTTCTTGGCTGAACTCGGTCAGGTTGCTTTGTGTCCTTGTGTTGTGTGTCTTTGTGCCATTTTAACCACTGGTGAAAACCAAATCCCACCCTGAGGGACAATAAAGGTCTGAAGTCCAAATAAATGCTTTAAAAGTCCTTTGGAAAGCCAAAAGAACTTGATATCAAAAGATTACATAAAAGTTTTAAGATCTACGCAGTGAATGCATTCATGTGTAGGGGAACACCACCTCAAACTGACCTCGGAGTTTTTGAAACATCCGAACTCGCTACTTTGATATCTGCCTTTATCGAAAAGGAGTATTTCTCGCAGACTCGTTCCCATGAAGATAACACCCTTTGCTGGTGAAGATTCTCAGTCATCCAGGACATGATGAATTCAAAAGGCGTTCAATACAAAAACAACTGGACTTTATTTGTAACAGAAGACGTTTCGCTCCTCATCCGAGGAGCTTTCTCAATTCAAAGAGCAGAGAGTGAGAGATACAGGTTATAAGGCTGAGTGAGATAAGACACACACACACATAAGACACACACACACACACATATGTAGATTGGCAGTTCACACCTGAAAACCTAAACAGTAGGTCTT